GTGTAAACTGACCCTCACTCAGTTAATATCTTACCTCACGTGTAAACTGACGCTCACTCAATTAATATCTTACCTCATGTGTAAACTGACCCTCACTCAGTTAATATCTTACCTCACGTGTAAACTGACCCTCACTCAGTTAATATCTTACCTCACGTGTAAACTGACCCTCACTCAGTTAATATCTTACCTCACGTGTAAACTGACCCTCACTCAGTTAATATCTTACCTCACGTGTAAACTGACCCTCACTCAGTTAATATCTTACCTCACGTGTAAACTGACCCTCACTCAGTTAATATCTTACCTCACGTGTAAACTGACCCTCACTCAGTTAATATCTTACCTCACGCGTAAACTGACGCTCACTCAGTTAATATCTTACCTCACTGACGCTCACTCAGTTATTATCTTACCTCACATGTAAACTGACGCTCACTCAGTTCATATCTTACCTCACGTGTAAACTGACGCTCACTCAGTTAATATCTTACCTCACGCGTAAACTGACTCTCACTCAGTTAATATCTTACCTCACGTGTAAACTGACCCTCACTCAGTTAATATCTTACCTCACGTGTAAACTGACGCTCAATCAGTTAATATCTTACCTCATGTGTAAACTGACTCTCACTCAGTTAATATCTTACCTCATGTGTAAACTGACTCTCACTCAGTTAATATCTTACCTCACGCGTAAACTAACACTCAGTTAATATCTTACCTCACGCGTAAACTAACACTCAGTTAATATCTTACCTCACGTGAAAACTGATCCTCACTCAGTTAATATCTTACCTCACGTGTAAACTGACCCTCACTCAGTTAATATCTTACCTCACGTGTAAACTGACCCTCACTCAGTTAATATCTTACCTCACGTGTAAACTGACCCTCACTCAGTTAATATCTTACCTCACGTGTAAACTGACCCTCACTCAGTTAATATCTTACCTCACGTGTAAACTGACCCTCACTCAGTTAATATCTTACCTCACGTGTAAACTGACCCTCACTCAGTTAATATCTTACCTCACGTGTAAACTGACCCTCACTCAGTTAATATCTTACCTCACGTGTAAACTGACCCTCACTCAGTTAATATCTTACCTCACGTGTAAACTGACCCTCACTCAGTTAATATCTTACCTCACGTGTAAACTGACGCTCACTCAATTAATATCTTACCTCACGTGTAAACTGACCCTCACTCAGTTAATATCTTACCTCACGTGTAAACTGACTCTCACTCAGTTAATATCTTACCTCACGTGTAAACTGACCCTCACTCAGTTAATATCTTACCTCACGCGTAAACTGACGCTCACTCAGTTAATATCTTACCTCACGCGTAAAGTGACCCTCACTCAGTTAATATCTTACCTCACGTGTAAACTGACGCTCACTCAGTTAATATCTTACCTCACGCGTAAACTGACTCTCACTCAGTTAATATCTTACCTCACGCGTAAAGTGACCCTCACTCAGTTAATATCTTACCTCACGTGTAAACTGACGCTCACTCAGTTAATATCTTACCTCACGTGTAAACTGACGCTCAATCAGTTAATATCTTACCTCATGTGTAAACTGACTCTCACTCAGTTAATATCTTACCTCATGTGTAAACTGACTCTCACTCAGTTAATATCTTACCTCACGCGTAAACTAACACTCAGTTAATATCTTACCTCACGCGTAAACTAACACTCAGTTAATATCTTACCTCACGTGAAAACTGATCCTCACTCAGTTAATATCTTACCTCACGTGTAAACTAACACTCAGTTAATATCTTACCTCAAGCATAACCTGACGCTCACTCAGTTATTATCTTACCTCACGTGTAAACTGACGCTCCTTTAATCTTAAAATTCAATCAAATTTTCACCTTTATGTCTTGTACTTGCTCAATGTTTTGTTTTCCCCCCATAGTTCAGTACATTTTGTCAGGGGTTTTCACTAAAGCAAGAATTGCTTAGGATTCTCAATTATGTGAATTTCAAATTTCAGATAAAAATTGCCAATCTGGAAGCAGAGGTCTCTTGACGAATATTTCCAGTTTAGCTCATTTTAATTCACTTAGAATTCCCAGCAATCCTTACATTAGCGAATAACCGTGGTAACATAGCGTTATAGGTCAACTGATTACTTTTGGTAATTTAATATATATATATATTTTATTTATTTCTATTTGCAGACATATCTAACTCCTGAAGTGATCTTGCTGGCCCAGTGACGATGGCGTAGATCTGTACCGTTACAAGGCAGGTGAACTTAATGTAAACATGTACACATGCCAAACATTCTCTCTATATTGAGGAATATACGCGATTGTGACGGTATCTCGAGTGCATGGTACATTACAGAATAAATATACATGCAGGGGCTGTCAGACCAGAAACCAGATTCCAGGCGTATTTCCTTGGCTTGAGACTAATCAGAGACATGTACTGACTGGCATTCAGTTAGCTTGCAATATAGGGACCGAAGCAGCCATGTTGGGAGTACATCTCGAATGCTAATGGTTTTTTTTTTTTCTTCTTCAAATTTGGCAATTTTGCAAAGTTGCTGATCACTGGTCGACTCTGCACATCTCACTGTTTAGCAAATAAAATCTTGTTTGTTTGGGTGCCTGTAAGAGAGCGCAAAATTATTATCTGGCTCTCCTTAGCTCACCTCTGTCTGGATTCATTGTATTGTGCTCTGTGTGACAGTGTCTGGTGTGTGTGATATAGTAATATGTGCAAATCACTGTGTGAGACAGTACAGTGTGTGTCTGAGACAGGCTCTGACTTGCTGTGTGTGTGACAGTCTCTAACATGCTGTGTGTGCGACAGTCTCTCACATGCTGTATGTGACAGGCTCTGACATGCTGTATGTGTGACAGTCCCTGACATGCTGTGTCTGAGACAGGCTCTGACAAGCAGTGACAGTCCCTGAAATGCTCTGTGTGTGAGACAGTACAGTGTGTGTCTGAGACAGTCTCTGCCATGCTGGGTGTGTGACAGTCTCTGACATGCTGTATGTGTGACAGTCTCTGCCATGCTGGGTGTGTGACAGTCTCTGACATGCTGTATGTGTGACAGTCTCTGACATGCTGTGTGCGACAGTCTCTGACATGCTGTATGTGTGACAGTCTCTGCCATGGTGTGTGTGTGACAGTCTCTGACATGCTGTATGTGTGACAGTCTCTGACATGCTGTGTGTGACAGTCTCTGCCATGGTGTGTGTGTGACAGTCTCTGACATGCTGTGTGTGTGACAGTCTCTGACATGCTGTGTGTGTGACAGTCTCTGACATGCTGTATGTGTGACAGTCTCTCACATGCTGTATGTGTGACAGTCTCTAACATGCTGTATGTGTGACAGTCTCTGACATGCTGTATGTGTGACAGTCTCTGACATGCTGTGTGTGTGACAGTCTCTGCCATGCTGGGTGTGTGACAGTCTCTGACATGCTGTGTGCGACAGTCTCTGACATGCTGTATGTGTGACAGTCTCTGCCATGGTGTGTGTGTGACAGTCTCTGACATGCTGTATGTGTGACAGTCTCTAACATGCTGTGTGTGTGTGACAGTCTCTGACATGCTGTATGTGTGACAGTCTCTAACATGCTGTGTGTGTGTGACAGTCTCTAACATGCTGTGTGTGTGACAGTCTCTGACATGCTGTATGTGTGACAGTCTCTAACATGCTGTGTGTGTGTGACAGTCTCTGACATGCTGTGTGTGTGTGACAGTCTCTGACATGCTGTGTGCGACAGTCTCTGCCATGGTGTGTGTGTGACAGTCTCTGACATGCTGTATGTGTGACAGTCTCTCACATGCTGTATGTGTGACAGTCTCTAACATGCTGTATGTGTGACAGTCTCTGACATGCTGTGTGTGTGACAGTCTCTGCCATGCTATGTGTGTGACAGTCTCTCACATG